GCAATAACTTCAATTCCAATCAATGAAATATCATGAAATTATCAGTGGACAATCGATAAAGATAGCAGATTCTAACGCATCAGTTGGCATATAGATRGAGCCACCAAGGSGCCCTAGATTCAAAAAGTTCTGTTTACTTTGGAACGTACCTTGTAGTACGGATATGCTGTGCTGTCTAATGTTTCGTTATGTCAAGTTGCTATGTCCTTTTCTAATAATTTGTCTTATGTTTAATCAATTTATATTTGGATACAGCAAKTGAAAAATGTTATTTTTAAGATTTTTAATGTTATGTTATGCCATGTTATACCTCGAGTTTAACACTACAACATGAACTCACTCAATTTATAAAGGGCTTCTAACGAAACATGTTTCGGTGCGAAAACGAGCAACATTTACGTCTTTCCAATAGCAACAAACTCAGACCATCCTTCGCRGTTAGCGCTTCGTAAAACCGGCGCGCTTCGTGCTGGCGTGGTGAGTTTCTACTCGTTTGCACTCAATTYCGTGTATTGAGCATTTGACTTTGCTTRGCATTGCTAGTTGAGCCGAAACGTTGGTTAGTTTGGTAGTGACTGCTATTGAATTTGGTTTATTGTTTAGAGGAGTTTTCGAAAGTTCACGTTATTGTGTGCTGACTATAGTATTACGTGTATGTATTATATATTAAAGCAGTTAAGATATGCAATATTGGTATATTAAGAACCTTTATTTGTATAAAGGAAATTTTAACAATTAAAAAAAGTATTTTGACGCATAGTAAACTGGAAAAGTGTTGAAAATATGAGGCAGTTAAGAAAAAAATGTAGCTCGGCATCCGATAAGTGTGCCGCTGATCCTGCGTTTAATATATTCTGTATAAAAGTGCAAATTGGAAGAAAATTTGAAAAACGCCGACTTTTACTTGGCTTAATAACAAATCAATAAAAAAAAATTGCTGATACTTACACCTACTTGTAAACAAGTACCACACTCTCGCCTTCAGTGCATATTMCCCAATCACATGCCGGTACGCACTCCAACACATACACACACATACGCAAACAACTAAACGCGACTTGTGTCAGACATTTCCAGCTGCTTTAGTGTCACTCGCTGAGTGCCACTTGRCGTCTCAAGCCGTTATGACTGGGCATGCTACGCACTATGTCTAGACTGCCGCCGCTTGAGTGTTCTTGCGTCGCGTCGTATTGTCTGCATTCTATACGTCACCTGACACCCCTGTCAACCCAACCCATCACCCTCAATATTGCAACACTGACAGTTAGTCTATTTTCAGATTTGTTTTGCTCSTTATTTTCGTTAGTCGTCCGTTAGGTGTTTGCAGATTTCATATGCTGCCATGTGGCGTGGCATTGCGGACTGACGGTATTACGCAAGTGCCGCGCAAATCCGTAACAAGGTTAAATAACAAACAACAACAATAAAAACAAAAACAAAAACGCTGCAATAACGCCGACACAAATTGTAACGTTACGTAGCATTCGTGAAGTATATTCGTGTGCATGTGTGTTTTTGTTGCTGTKTGTCACCGGAAGTGAAAGCCGGAAAAGGAAGTGCAGTGAACATGTATTTCATTCTCTTGCACAAATAAGTAAATGTGCGCTTCTTACAGTATTTATAAAACAATGCTAGAAACCAGCATAAATAACAGCGCAAAAATTCTTTGAAATAAAAAAAATATTCTTCATTACCCCTCCGTGTACTAATTTTTTCATCATTTTTTCTAGTGTTCGCCATAACATTTCGTCGTTAAAAGTACAATAAAACGCTGAGCATAAAAGAAATCACGAAAGGAGTGKAAATCCTGAAAGGGATTTGCAAAATAGAAATTATTTCGTCTTCTTAAAAAATAAAGCAATGAAAAGCGTGAAAAAGTTCTCCTCTAAAGCCGTAAAAGTTGCGCAAAGTTTCAAGTAGGTAGTCTTCGAAAGCAATAAAGCTGAAAAAGTGTGGAAAGTCAAAAGCGTAAAAATTAAAACGTAGCTCTAACACTCAAAAATTACCGCAACTCGGAAAGTTCACCGGTTGAAAAAGAGAGTGTGCATCTGCCTTGCGGAATTGCTTAGTAAAAGGAACGGTAGAATACGCGTTACTGTTTTCTCGCTGAGAAAGCGTCGTAAAGTGTTGCATGGATTATCTCAAAMTTGTCCTCTTTTCGCGATAATCTTGTGCTGATCTTCAACGCTTGGGAATTTTAGTTTCAATAGACGTGAAAAAATTATAATATTRTAATTTGTGTAAGTTATGAATACTTAGATTYWGCGAACTTTTTGCATTTCAGCATTYCTGAATAATAAGCCTTCATAAAAACAACTTACTTCCAAACACACTAAATGGCAAAAAAATTGTCATTTCATAACCTAGTAACACTCAGGAGAAAAAAATTAAGTACTTTTTTTATAGACGAAATTTTGAGAACAATTCAAACATATGATCTTGAACAGCGGTTATAAACTTTCATGCTTATTCAGACATCACACTCAACTGCTGGATTAAGATATATATGGCTAGTATATTTCTCTTCCACTTACTTTGCTACTAATAGGTAARGTAGAAACACTGTCAATGTAAAAGCGACAGTGTCACGATCAAAATAATCTTAAACGGAACTCAAGCACAGCGAACGAAGAACCCTTGTAAACTTTTTTTAGAGCTCTTCCTAAATAATTTAAGGAGTGTGGTTGTCTTTTTAACAAATGAATCAGCCATTTATATTGGTATTCCAGCCGTTTTTGTTAATTACTGCAGTTTTGGGAATAAATTCAGCTAGTAAAACATTTCCTTCCATTACTTCCACTCTGAAGTTAACACTTTTCCATTCATAYGGATATCAGAAATTTTTATGACTTCCACGTCCGGTAGTCAGCTGCAGTCACATACATATACATATACAAATATACCCAACAAGGCTCTCGCTTAGACCAGAATCAAAACCTTTCATGGAAAAACGTCCTCCTGGAGTTATGAAAAACGAAATTCATTATATAATATATGGTGCAAGTATATGGGAGTTGGGATAGTATTGGCTCGATTTTATCTTACATACCATTACCAATCACATGGAATAAAGTCAGTCACATGTTCGAAAATCCTGATAATAGTTATATGGGCAGGTTCTCGTTAAATTTGATCTATTTTAGGCTCAACGATACACAATTATGGGTAAAACACGCTCTGTACTTTTCARTAAGATAATTCATATAATGCCCGATATATGCAGCATAAAATTCCCCGAAAGTTCGAAAATCTTTGCATTAGGTACATGGGTGTTGAGGGTAGTACTCACCTGATTCCACCTACTTTTGATAAACGTAGGCATTGTCTGGAAAGGATTGTCTCTGAATTTCAATTGTTTTGGCAGGATTTGAGCAATTTATGGTCATAAGGTGGCACACACTAAAGGAATTATTGG